GGTGTTGTGCAGAATTCAGAACTACCCTTCACTTGCAAGCACGTCCTGCAGGCGTATGGACACTACAGATTATAATTATGATTTGGGTTGTTAACACATTGTGTATCATCATAGTAGCATCTGTATGCCTGTGTGCATGCATGTGAAGGGGAGTCAGATTCTGTGTCTGAAACTTTCACAGAGCAAAAAATACCAATTCTCACATAATGTTCCTTAAAATGTCCCTAGTTGTTTTAACCACGACTGGAGCTTCAAATTGAAACACTGGTGTGCTGACAATGAAGTGAAGGCTTGGCAGATAGCAGTGGTGGCTGAACGGCAATTGGAGGGTTGAGAAAGTAAGGCAGAGATTGACAGAGAGCTAAATGATTTGATTGGCCATAATACAATGATAGCACAAAAAACAAATTGCATTGTCTTAAAAAACTCTACTTAATAAGTATTATTTCCCCATTGGATCAGGTAGGCCTGTGATCAGTCTGAGTAGGCAGAGGCCTATCCTTGACTATACTCCTGGTTTACCTCTGTCCAACCCGATCATGAGGTCTTTATAATGTAGTCTAAGTGTTGAATTCAGGTCTAACCTATTAACCTTGTGTCACATTTAGAAGTGATAATGATGTGATCATCACAGAGGAGGGTAGAGGAACCACAGCCCAAGTAAAATGTGACTTTTAATGATTAAAAAGTTGTGTAAAAGTGCAGAAGTCAGAAAAACTAGTAACTTATAGAACTACGGTGAAACTTAGTACATCCAGCATAGGAACTCAAATTTGTTAGACTCTGTTCCTCTCTTGTTTATGCACTCTCGATCTAAAATAAGATGATAAACCCCAAAAGTCAGCGGGTTTCACCAATCACAAAATCAGTGTAGATGCTGTCAACAACATAACACAATGGAATGAAACACAAGAAAGGATTAACTAAACGTTAATGACTAAAATGTAACTGAATACAACATAGAATCTTTTCCTCACAAATCCTCGACTAGAAATGATACTATTAAAATTGAGAAGAAGCTATTAAAATTTGAAAAGTACAAATGTAGAAAATGTTGCTTAAGCGCATTTAGCTGAATAAATGCAGCTCGTTATTCCCCACCTCTGCCCACTCATAACAGACATGAGGGGAAGTGGAACACATCAGTGGAACAAATGTAAAGTACAGTAAGTCTCCCGTTTTAAGAGTGGTAAAGCTGGAGGCCTTTCACAGTTGGCTACAAAGCAACCACACAGTGCCAGCCATCAATCCCACAGTTGCGAAGATATTAAAGAGCCACCAGTACATGTGAGTAAAGCTGGAAACAAAACATTTTAAACTTGCTTGTAATAAAGTCAGTTTTATTGTTTTCACACTTTAATATGGACATGCATGCATGATCCACTCGAAAGAGGATGTGATTCATTTGCATATGAAGACGTTGTCTTTGACTATGATACAATATTTCTAAAATATACTGTTACTTACTGGAAGAAAAGCAGATCGTTTCTCCTGGAGATGTTTTTATATACTGAACCATAGGCTTTTAAGGGGCAGAGGGAATATTTGGTGTGAATTGACCCTCTTGTTCTTGTGATTTTTCTTTTTAAAGTATGTCGGGAGTGATTTGTTTTCTCTGCATATTTAAAGTGTCAGACTTCTTTGTAGTGGTGGTGATAGGAACCACACGTCTGAACAGTTTTATGCCTCACTAACAGAAAGTTATTACATGAAATAGTGCAGAGGACACTGCCTGAAGCCTAAGACATTGTTTTACGATAGTTTTGAGAAGGTTTTGACCCTAAACATGTTTTTTAAATCTGTTAATGGTGGAGAGATCCACGTAGGGTGTTGTGAGACAAAATAGTCCCCAATGAATCTCTATTTTCCCATTATTAATATTATACATCAAAACTCAGAAGATACATATAGGTTCACTGGTCATTTTGGATGATAAATAAAATGGCTATATTTGTGTTGTAGACATTGCAACCCCTGGTTCCTATCACCACCACTGTAAAGAAATTTGAGTTGTGAGTAGAACATTTCAAGTCAAACCACTCTGAATGGCTTTGTTTTAAGCAACTGAACAAGTCGTAGCCCTACCCTGGATTAAAGGAAAGAATAATGCTTGAACTTAGTTTTGTTAGCAATAGCAGGCTAGCCAGTTTAGGAGGTCTAGCAGATTTCTTGTCTGGCTAATTCTATCCTTAACCCTACAGCAAAGCTTCTACATTTAAATGTGTTGTTGTGTGTCTGTGTGACATCGAGTACACTGACCTGTTATAAAACAGGCTTAGATAGATCAGAGGTCTGTGAGTGCAAATGGCAGTGAGGAAAAGAAGGCTTATATATGATATACATAAGATCTTTTCGGTATCAAAGGCTAAGTGAGTGTGAGTAAGGAGGTGTTTTAGCACGCAGAAAATATAATCAGTAAGATGTGTTCAACAGCTCCGGCCCTAAATACCAAAGGTCAAAGCTTTCAGACCTTGCCATAGTATTGTGCGTGGGGTAGCGTACTCATGAATCTGATACTCAGTATCCTAAAGGGGAAGTAAATTTTGACCCATGTCTGAACCAAAAACACAAAAGGAGAGGTGCATAATCTGACCGAATTTCGAGTTAAACCTAAGCTTGTTACAATTATTACATAATCACAGTTATTTGAAATGATTGAAGTTATTCAAAGCTGATTGCAATGATTTTTGACAGTCATTCATTTCACATCATATTTTCTGATATAAAACAGAACGTAAAATGGATGCATTTTCATCAGTTGGGTTGAGACACACAAATATAAAGAATGCACATTCACTGAAATACACAGGTCTTATGAAAACAACAGAAGTTCTACACATTTAGAGGAATGTTTATTAGAAATGTAGCTTCCTCTAATGTTATTAGCATGTATGCTTGAAGAACAAGAGAAAAATTTAACTCTGCTTGACTCTACACATGATTCTATGTAGCTGTAGACAAGTGTCAACAGGTACAGGCTTGTACTTTAATAGAGATATAAAATTGTAAAAAAGAGAATTAAACAGGCGAAGACAATTCTTTATATGACAGTTTGTGAGTTCAGACCGTGCCTTCAACATGGTGGTAGTATGAGGGAAGACTGACTGAGGGAGGAGGGGGGCCTCTGAGAACTTATGCTGGAGCTCTGGGCAGCTTCTGCCTGTAGCTAGAAGGCCAAATCCCCCCTCATAGCTGTAGTAGGACTGATGTAGAACTGAGGAACAAGGAGGGAGATGGGATGGTGGTGGGGATTGCGAACCCTTCGTCACAGGAACGGAAGGTGAGGGTGTGAATTTATAGGGCGGAAGAAGGAGGGGTTTCACACATGTTCCTCCCCCCAAACTTCAGTTATGACTACATTTAATCATCTGCTCATCTGCATCACCCATACATCTGCTCCAAGGTATGGGGCCAGAGGCAAAGAGGGATTGAGGTGGCACTGGCAACCCCTGAAATCAAACTGGCCGCACTTGATCTCACCTCAAAACTATCTTTTTCTTTACATAATTCAAAGTCTAATTCAAATGCCTCCACAAGCTCAGCTGGGAGAAAGTAGTTTAGCTATGACCTTTTACACTTACAAATGCTGTATTTAGCAGACGCTCTGTGTGCTTTATTGACCACCAGCAGAGTGGAGCAGAAGTACACTTTGCAAAAACTGCAATTGCTGTTTTGAACGGGTATGACAAATTTGAGTGAGAACTAAATCTTGAATTTGCTACTGTGGATAACAAGCATAGGCTACAAAAATGAAACTGTTGTTCAAACACTTCAGTATAGAAAAGCATATATGCATATATGCCTTTTGTGTTAGTGAACTAATAGAGCTTTGTGTTAAAAAGCTAATTGAGGTCCTGAGCTCCTGCTGAGTTACTCATTCATCTGATGTGCATGATGTAATGTTGATTTCCGGGTCATTTTGATGGTTACACTTTTGGGTTTATACAGTTTGCACCGCTGAGAGACGGTATGGTCATGCAATGCCCACCCCATGCATGCAGTCCTAGAATCAACAGTGTATGTGATAAACTACCAAGACTGGCCGTTTAACAAAGCCTTTCTTTGTTATTGTTAACACATTAGATTTGACATATTCAGTATTGTACAACTTGTCACTGCATTATTGTGAATAGTTCTGGTCAGATTGTTTGGAACAGTTGTTTTAAAACATAATGATAGTACTTTTAAATGGCCTAGATGAGAGCATTTTGCATATTGAATAAGTATTGATTGGCATTTCCCTAGTGTAACATGTCACTGTTGTTTGAACAAAACCTTGTATCTCCGTTTTTGTCAATTTTCAGTTTTTGACATAATTTGAAAATGCCTGTTGCCTTTTACATTGTGAGTAACTTTACAATGAACGGACAAAAACATGGCCCATGGAAACTTGGAAAAATTTCTGGTTCCATTGATTTACATTAAAAATAAAGTAGGTTTTTTCCTTCTCCGGTAAAGTTATTATTTTGGAGATACAAGGTTTTGTTCCGACAGCAGTGATATCCTTAACATCTAATATATATAATAAAACACTGATGTTCGAGACCATATCAGTATCAGATACTGATATTTCATGACGTATTTATTGTACTCCAGAGGAGTAAACTATTTAGGCAAAGCTGGGCTACTGTGATAAAATATCTGCATTTTATGTATTTTATTGCATTTGTAACCTTCGACAGATGAGTGTTTTTCTGTAATGCTAATCCTACTATATTTAGTCCCAATTTCTACATTTTGTAAATGTTTTGCATTGACATTGGCAAATATGTACCGGAAAAATACCAGGTATTGGTATCAGCCCACGATTCCCATATTGGAGCATCCCTGATGGTTTAGCCACCATACTAAACATCAGAGGTACATTTCTGACCTCAGAATGATTCCATTCTGTTATGGCTCTTTAGGAAATCAAGGAATCTCAAATTCCACCTGGATTCAATTCAGTTTGATCATTTTGAAATGGATTATTAAAAACATTATTACTGATGTCTTTACAGAACAACAAACGGTGGTCTTGCTGCCCAGATCACCCTCCACATCCAAGAAATACTTCCCCATTCCTGTAGACAACCTGGAAGAGGAATACCGGATCCGCTCGGCTGATGATGGAAAACTCTTCAGAGAAGAGTACACTGTGAGTTCTCTGAATCCTCTCACTGTCTGCTGCTCACAGCTATTATGAGACTAAAGAAAAGGAAACTGGAGAATCCCTGCTGACACGGCTGTTTTGCTCCTTTAAATAATCACACTGACATTCGTCACATCGAAAGAAATAGCCTAGGAGTGCTGTGGAGATGTGGAGAATGTGATTGTGTTTGGTAGCAACCAATAGGCTAGACATGTTAAGTGTTGTTTGCGAGCAGAAAATGTTGTTTCATTGCTCTCGGTCTGAATATCTCATTATGAAATAGGCTGACTTTGCGTTATTACATGATATTAAATTAGCCCAGACACATACAACCAATGCATTCACTGCTTTATTGGGAAACGTCATGCTACATCTGCTGACATGTCACTAGCGTTCATTTCCCACAGTGTTTAAATGCAGCTCGGATGGAGGAGAGTCATTTGTCATTGATTCACTCACGGGTGATTCATTGACGAATTACCCTCTTTACCAATTTAAGACTGATGATTCAGGAATCATTCCATGGTGGTCTAAATTAAATCAGCGGCTGGTGATTCAGCGACCATGCACTGATTTACTGAATGAATTCCAAGTGACACGGAAAGGATGTTTACGCTCTGCAATCCTAATGGATACTTAAGCTGCATGAGCCAGAGAGGAAGCAGCTAGAAAGGTTAAACAAAGTGCTGCACATACTGCATAACAAAGTCTATACAATATTGACACAAGGTGTTTATTGTGAAAAGTGCAAGGTCCTGAGAAGCAATTCGAGTTCCTGTGGACTTCACAAAACATGTTTTCAGTCAATGGTTATGGACATGTTTGTTTTTTCTGTGCAGTCGTTACCTGGGGGTAACCCCCAAGGATCGTATGAGGAGGCAAACAGAGAAGAAAACAAAGAAAAGAACAGATATCCCAACATTCTCCCTTGTGAGTTTACTCTTTCTTTCTCTCACTCATTCATTTACTCTGACCCCCTCTCTCTTGTCAGTCAGATAGTCAGTACTATTTAACCAACAGCACTTTTGATTGTGAGAACAGAGAGGAACCCTCTCTACATTTGTGGTTTTCACTGCATTTCCTGTGTTAAATTGCACAGAGCTCACTCATCTATGTATAGTATACAGAGACAAGGCGCAGAACTGAATCTGCTCTTAATATTCCCTTCTGACACACGTGTTCAAGCTCAATTTGGCACATGCATGCTCACATTTACGTGCTATCTCATGCACTCGCTTGTACATTTATTGATTTGAGTTTTATAAATTGTGCAGTTGATTCAGCAAATAAAGGTTTTCAGTGCTACCTGAATGTTAGTAAAAGGGGAGAGCATGGCCCGCCTTATGTGAGGTAAAGTGCAACACTGAATTTGTATGTAGTTAATTGCTTACATATCCACGCTTAATACAGTTTAAGGCTTATTACTTCATTTCTAGAAAACATTATTCATTACTAGAAAACAGTGTAAACCAATGCAAGAAAACTAGCAAACAAACAAAAGAAAGTATGATGCAAACTCTTGTTTGAGTGATAGGAACCTGAAGAAAGGAAATCTACACTTGTCAATGAATTTTCACAGCTGTCTGACAGATATATTTTCAGGAATTTTCTTTACCATGAACATAACTTTCACATCATAAATGTTTTTCACTTACTAAGATGTGGTACAAGTTTTAGAATCCACACCCTCATGGTGGCTGTAATATAGCACCACTTTGAAGAATATAACCACCTCACAATAAGAGCAAATGTTTCAGACCTTTTTTTCACAGAAAACTTAGGTGCAATGTAGATTTCAAATGTATTGAATTTTTTCATCACCCACAGTCTCTGGACACTATGATGCATGTAATTTCACTCTCATGTTAATCTTGCTTAAAAATGTAAACATTTAAAAATATTCAGCAACAAACAAAATGTGACTTTTCCTCAACTTCTCAAATAGTTTTTTACCCCATGTATGAGGTGAATATGTGTTTTTGGTGCTGTGTGGTTGTAAACGGCTCTCTGTTTGTCTCTGCTGATCAGATGACCATTCCAGAGTGGTGCTGACACAGATAGATGGCGTTCCACACTCAGATTATATAAATGCTTCTTATATAGATGTGAGTATTCAATTTTTTTATGTTTATCACAAAAAAATAGATTTTTCACAATACTTACAGTACTTTTCACAACATTTTTATTACTTATACACTGTCACTGTCTGAACAAATCTCATCTTTTGTCATTTTTATCTGTTTATATAATTTGACAATGCCAACTGTCCTTTACACCACGTGAAGAGTTCATGATGAATGGAGCAACAGAAATGGTCCAAAATTAGTGAGAATAAAATATTAGATTAACATATGTTAAAAATTGTTAAGGTTTTGTCCTTCTGCTGTGAAGTAACCATTTAGGAGGTTTTGGACCAAACAGCAACAATATAAAATACTTTGTATGATATACAAGTGCTGTGTAGAAGTCCTAGACAGCCATGAAAGTTGTTTATTTATCTCGGCAGTAAGTGTGTTTTGCCTGTTAAACATCTTATAGCATTATAATAAACACAAATAAACATAATTACAGTAAAAAAAAGTAATAAGAATTGTTTGTTTTCAGTAAAGTTATTGATATCTTGGTTAGAAGACAGTTTTGATAAATTAGATATTGGAATGTAGCTGTCAATACTGGATTTCCTTAAGAAGAACTGCTATTCATTTGTTTATTTTTATTTATTGTAATGCTAGTGTTGTGTAAACTAATACATGCTTACTGCTCAGATAAATAGCTTTCCATCTCATTTTCTCAGAACACTTTGCACACAGTGGCATAGGTTTCGCTTCAAATTTGGAGGGATTTACTGCCCATACCCTCTGACCCTGAAATGTATTTCATACTAATTTTTAGTGTAAAGGATACATTAGGATTGTGCCATAAAACTGTTATTTAATATGCAAACCATTTTTACCTTGAACACTTTAAATTAATGTAATCAAACTTGCTGAACTATCAATCTCATAGTCACCAGAAATATTCACAGTTGTAATGCAGCATTAAAACAGTATTGTAATTGGCTTCTTTAGTAACTTTATTAACATTATTTTTAGATAAAATTGCTCATCAACCTAAATCAACCATTTATTAAATCAATTTACTTCTAACCAACAAGCTTTTTTCCCTTATGGGAGTTCATGGATAAAAGAGAGATGCAAGTATAGGGATGAAAATAATAACTGATCTATCTAGACCCTTTATATGAAAGCCTTATTAAACAATTCAAACACATTTAATGCATATAGGCTGTGCTGTACAGCTTAATGTACAGTATCTTTTGAAAATGTGCTTGGCTGCTTGTATGTTCAAGTCTATTTAGATGTGAGTTGGTTAACTATGAGCAGTAAAGTGTGTGACTGATTTTCTGCATTTAAAACACATCTTTACACTCACACTTTGCACACTCAGCACTCTAAATATCTAATATTCTAATATCAAGCTTCCTTTTCTTCATTGCCATTTGCACACAGATCAGTGTAGTTGTTAGACAGAGCACTGAGAGAGAAGTACAGTGGAACTTTTTCACAAAAAACCTACTTTCTTTCTGGTTAAGTGTTAGCTGCTCACCATATAACTACCTAAGAAGTGATATCAAAATATTATTGTAGTATACCATAGTGCTGAAGCGTTAACCTAAACAGCCATATTTTAGAGTTCATATCTTTATATCAAATCAGAGACACCATAATCCAAAACATGTGGTCCTGATAGTCAGAAAAGAGTCAGAGATCAGTTTAGAGATCTGTGAAGTGGAAATTCTCCATTCTAGCTTCTGTTACTCTATGTCAGTAATTTATACAATAATTTGGAAAAAAGTTGAGTGTTATCTTTCAAATGAGTTTAAGATCATGACAGTAGCCCAAAGTATGTGGGAACAGTGCTTCTTTTAGGTGTGCCATTTCAGACAAAAATGAAGTGACAAAATTTGACCCCTGGCAGCTCTAGTTATGGAGATGTCATACCTTTTAGATGTAGAAGGTTTTTCCTAGGTTTAACTTGGTAAATAAATCTGCGAGACCTGCTAAATTAGCTTGCTAGCTATCAGTAACAAATTAGTCTTCAGCATTAGTGTCTTCAATCCAGGGAAGAGCTCCAGCCTGCAGCCTATAACAAGCTGGCAGTCTTTTTTATCACAGGTAGCTGCTTAGTTCACCTCACTTTTACATCCTCGAGTGTCTTGAACATTAGAAAAGTTTTTAGTCAGATGCTGACTGAATACAGAATGCATTTCCCATGAGCCTTTGCGCGGGAACGTAAAGCAGAAAATACATATTTAAACCAGGGAGTTTTGCTGAGCTAGTTCAAAATGAATGGGTTCCTGAGGAGCTTTTGTGCAAAATCATAGTTTGTAAATGCTTCATCATTTTTATATGGAAAAATGCCCTCAACACAGAACAGCATCGAATATTTCAACACTGCTGTCACATTTTTGAACTCCTATTATAGGACTTAACAATATGTTATGTATGTTCAGGATGTCAGTTAGCGCAAAAACTCTTTACTCAGCCAATGAGCTGATCAGCTCACGTCATTTTTTGTTTTTAGCTGTTTAGTTAAAACAGTGGCATTTTGCCTTCATTTTTTGATATAATGGGTGCCTGGAAGTGGCCAGGCTCCCCTTAAACTTTCTCTGAATTCAACTAAATGTCCACTCTATTAAAACCATATATATATGTGTGCGTGTATGTATCTATGTATGTATTTGGTCAAATTTAACAACTACAAGCAATCACAACACTCTGTTTAAATGTCTGGATGTGCTGAGAGCAAATTATTGGAGGGTGGCAATTTATCTCCCTCCAAACACTGGAGAGGAGATGTGTCCACACCATCCCCCTTAAATCTATGCCTGTGTTTTCACGGTACAGTATGTATGTATTTTTTAACACAAAAAAAACAACAAAAAAACAAAAAAAAGTGATCATTTTTTGCTTTGATTCTATGTGTATAAAACCTGGTTTATGTCTTGCAGGGCTACAAAGACAAAAACAAATTCATCGCAGCACAAGGTGAGCACAGCTAGCTGGAATGTAAACATCAGATGCCATCACTGAAATCTGCTGATCTGTGCCACCAAATTAGGTTGTTTTCATGTGCATGTGTGTGTGTGTGCATTCCAGGACCAAAACAGGAGACTGTTGCTGAATTTTGGAGAATGATCTGGGAGCAGAAATCAGCTACTATTGTCATGCTCACCAACCTGAAAGAGAGAAAAGAGGTAGCCATAACTTTCTGTTTTGTTTATCTTTTAAGTCATACAAGTTTTCACAAGTCTTGATGCTTGGCGCCAACTAAACTACACGCTGCAGACCGAAGTCCCCACAACTCTAGGAACCATGAAAAGAAGTCATTCGACATGTCTCACTTTCATCCTCCCGCAGAGGTCATCTGCCTTTAACAACAGAGGTCCCCCCTCCTGCCGCCCACGCCCCCACCATGTCTTTAGGCAGCTTTCGAAAGCTCAGAGACAAATCAATAAAGCCAGAATGGATGAGAGATTAAAATCAGCTTTGCCTTGGCGCTGAATCGATGATTAAATAATGGCTAATAAAGCCCTCTCAGGCGTTATCATAATTAGGCAGCAGAGTGTCATTAAGTGTGTATTATCCGTCGAGCTCAGGCTGCCTAATTCTGATTGACGGGCAGAACTGATTAAGCTCGCTGATTTGCATTGCAGAGGCTCAGAAGTCACCTTAACCCCACGTGTGCTCTTACGAGTGTTCACTGAGCCACTTAACTGCACTTAACTGCATTCTTCTGTACAAAAATATTGGCTCCATTTTCTTTGGGAATTGTATCGTGTTAAAATCAGCAACTGTTCAGCACTTTCCTTATTTTTAGGTATATTTTCTCTGTCATCAGAAAAATCTATCTGACTTATGAGAACATAAGTCTGTGCAGGATTTTGTAAGATTTCTGATGTTTCCAATCTCTCTTTCTCTCTCTATCTGTAGGACAAGTGTTACCAGTACTGGCCTGACCAGGGCTGCTGGACGTACGGTAATGTGCGGGTTGCTGTGGAAGATTTCACCGCACTGGTTGACTACACAATACGCAAATTCTGTGTGCAGTCTGTAAGTGTCAAGAACTCACTAATACTACCTTTACTCTTCCAGTCAGTTGTGACTCGCTGAGTGCAGTTTTCACTGCGAGATGTCAGAAATGTAGTCACGTCTGTGGTCAGATAATGATTATGTACAAACTAACAGCTATAATTCTTTCTGTTGAAGCAAGAAACAAGGTGTGTCCATGTACACTTAAAATCTTAGAACTTTCTACAGTTCTAGTAGAAAATGAAAGTCAACCACTGTCTAGTCTAATTAGCTCTGTAACTAGTACTTTTTTTGCTTTATTATGCTAATATTATCAAAGAAAGCAACAGATTTGTGGACACTATGGATGTTTAAATCACATTGACCGGTAAGGCTGCCTGAATTATTGCACATGTTAAAATATGTTAAGGCTTATCTTCATTCTAAAACTGCAAGTTAAAGAGGAAGTGATTTTTTTTCTACATAATTCCGCCACTAAGATGTAAACAAGACCAGGTTTGATGTGAAATGTTTTGTTCTAGAACTTAATGTGTCAAAATTATTCACAGTGATGGTGATAGTGTCTCTAAAAGCTCCCTCACAGAAAGTTATTATATAAAAATTGTTATGAATATGCTGTCTGATGTGTGAGATACTGTTTTGTGATAGTTTTGAGAAAAGGTTTTGGTCTAAAATGCATTTATTTAAATCTATTGATGGCAGGGTACATGCAGGGCATTGTAAGGCAAAAAAGTCCCCAAAGGAAACATTTTTTTTTAGATTTACCACAATTTTACCATCATAATATTACATGTAAAAACTCATGAGACACATGTAGGCTCACTGATCATTTTAGACAGAAATAAAATGACTTTATTCATGTTGAAGATCCTGAGTCCTGAGCCTACTCTGAATGACTTGGTTTACATCTCAATGACTGAATTATGCAGAAATTTTGAAAAATTGGTTGGAATACCCCTTTAACCGGCAGTATGCTGAGGCAATGTCAAGATTCTTTGTCAGCTCCATTGGCATTGTTAATGAGACCGTGCATTTATTTAGCTTTTAGGTGGTGCCAGGAAAATAAAACTCAGCCAATAGGAAAAATAAGCAAAGCAACAGCGTTAAAACCCACAAAGTCCCCAGAGACAGTGACCTCACTAAGCAGTTTGTTAGATCTCTGAGTGCAGACTTACTCTGTGGTCTCAAGGCAGATTGGCATGTTTCTTACTACACATCATCACTGTTAAAACTCTATGAGCAGTGCCCCGCCTCTTTCTGTATGCATGTCTGCATTCCTAAAAAAAAGGATCTTAAATAGTTCTTGGCTTGGATATATGGTTTAGGAAAAAGCTTTAATTGGTATAGAATATTCATATTTTGTGACATGAAAAGGCTCTTCAAACTCACACATCTATTTTTTAAAAAATGATTATTTGACATTCACTGGAAACTTTAGGGAACCAAAAAGTAACCAATATATTGAAAAAATAAACAAATATAAAATATGGCCTGTGCAAAAGTTATGATCAAATATATTATTTTTTGTTTATTTTATTTAAAATTAGCAGGAAAATGTCATATTCACATTTGTTTCCTGTAGAGGATGTGTTCAATTATTTTCACTTATAAAATCAACAAAACATGTCATTTGACTGGGGGTGTTTTCAGACTTTTGCATACAACTGCATGTGAACAAAGACTTTTTTGTTGTAGACTCAACAGAGTAAATCAGTAAACTGATCATGTTTTGTAATATCTGTAATTTCCATTCTGATAATTGTTAGAAAGGTACTGAAAGTTTTAAACAGAGCAGAAGGAAGATTCCCAGTCTATGTACTTTCTATGTAAAGTAGTACCTTTAACAAAAAAGCTTCTTGCTTTTCCCCCCCATCAGGCCAGTGATGGCTCTAAAAACCCTCGCCTGGTTACGCAGCTGCATTTTACCAGCTGGCCGGACTTTGGCGTGCCCTTCTCACCCATCGGCATGCTCAAGTTCCTCAAGAAGGTCAAACAGGTGAACCCATCGTACGGTGGACCCATCGTAGTGCACTGCAGGTATGCAAACCATCTCAGACACACAGACCTGAAGAATTACCCTCATTGAGAGGTGCAGTTCCAACCCTAGTCAAACTAAACAACGCCTACATGAGAATTAGAATGTTATATATGCCTGTTGGCCTTTCATTGTGTGTAAATTTTATGATGAATGGACCAAAAGAAATGTCCATTTGCCGTTAACATTCTCCTTCAAGCGCTTTGAGCTGTCCAGTGATGTTGCTAAAGGTGTGAAAAGATATGATGGCTGGCTTCACATGACTCAGAGGAAGCACGTTAGCCTTCATCCTCACCACAAGCATTTTTGAGTACTTATTTTATCACAGCACGATTAGCATTCTAGCCCTGGTGCAAAACTAAAGAAGCAAACTTGAGACATCAAACACGTCTTGGCTGAACGACTACATTTGGGATTAGGGGGTAATCTAATATTATAGTAATTAGGTTTCTGACATGGCTGTGGCTTAAAATATATTCTAATAACACAATTATATTAAATGTGCCACATGTTTGGAAATCATTATAAAAAAATATAAGAATCTGATAAAAGACCTTGTGCTAAACTGTAAAGCCTAATGGAAATCTGTTTCTGGAACCAGAAATATGTCCAATTCTGGTACTTGTCTAAAAAGTGTAGCTTCTTTTTTTTTGTATTCACCAAATTATTGCAATACTTAACAAACTTTTCAAATAGTGGCTTTAGCACTCAATATGAAAGTAGGCAGTTGACTTTTAAACTCTCTGAAAAAGGCCAATTTTTACACTTCGCTCCCATTATTCAGAAGACCTTGTGGACCCTTTGTGTCATTTGGAAGGTATCTGTCATGCATGCATAATTTATTTTATCAGACAATGATGCATTATTCAAAACGATTAGCATATGATTTGAATTAGGCGAACTGAGGGCTATTCATTCTGTTGGGTGGTTAGGGAAATAAGACCGAAATATGTAGGTCAATGTCTGAAAGTTTGATCAAGCCCCTATGACCTAGCTGTGTGTCACGTTTCAGCACTACAAGTGTGCAAGTCGCAGGTCGAGCCCCATGGACTCCAATCCATCCTACACAATCTAACCACAACGTCAGCCATACACACATGCTGTGTGGATGAATAGCTCCTTTCAGACATACTGAGATTTAGCTTGTTGGATAGTGGCCTCTGCTGACAAAACATAAATATAGTGAACATTGCTTCTATAAAGATGTTTTGTGTTATGTAAGGATTACTAGGTGTGGTGAAACAAATTGCATTTATAGCGGTTACAGTGTATAACTTTACTGTTATACTAAAATCAGATGGGTTTAACTGCATTGTGAAAGCATCATATGAATGAAGAATAAATGTTTTTCTCCTGTGTTTCTGTGTGTGGTTCTCTCAGCGCTGGGGTTGGAAGAACAGGCACTTTCATTGTAATAGATGCGATGATTGACATGATGCACGAGGAGCAGAAGGTCGACGTGTTTGGGTTTGTGTCCAGAATCCGGGACCAGCGATCGCAGCTTATACAGACAGACGTGAGTGCATTTAATGTCACGGCATCAAAACTGTAACTATTACTGTACCAAAAATACTGTACCTGCCATGTTCTTTTTTAATTGCACAAGTATCATTACTCATGAAAATACAATATACAATGTGACTATTACTATTAAAGGGATGCATGGTTGCTACACAAATTCTAGACATGCTTAAGTTCCTCAAAAGTACTTCAACACTTGATTGCAACTGTACTTCACTCCCACTGCACATTCTTTATATTACTCACAGATTGATTTGCTACATTCTATTTGATGTATGTATTAATGTATCTTCTTTATTATATTTATTTAGTTGGATATGATTTTCTGATTTCTAAAAAAAGGAACTTGAACAGTATAAACCACACTGGCCAGTTTCAAAATAGCGACAAACTGAAGAGTGACACACTCTGTATGTCGAAATTCTAAGGCTGTCCTGTACTGCATTTTACAGGCTTTGAACACTCGTTGGTGTTTACTTGTTCTTAAAACTACCCTTAAAGACAACACTGTTTACATTTCATAAGTGTAATTATTATTCCAGTATTCTGTTTATAACAAATAGTTTGATACATCATTTTCACAATTGGGGTCACAAAGTTGCTTGAAGAATAGGCTGTAATGTTAAGTAAGCTGAAGAGACAGATGAGTCTGTGTCGATTTCTGCCTACCTACATAGCATCGATGATACAGAAATAAGTTCAAGATGTAAATCTTTTAAAATCTCTTTTTAGTGTGTTCATAGTCAGTTTACTGGTTTACTAGGACGGTGGTCCTTGGTGGTCCAAGTTCATGTCTATCGCAACTAAAATAACTTCAATAGATCTGATTCAGGATTGATGACTAATTTACAATAAATATGTGTGGATTTAAAGCTGTTTATGTCATATATGAATCAGGTAAACTGATTAGCCAGCCTGTTCTCTCTGTTTGTCTCCATCACTCAGCTCTGTGGAGAGACTGAAGATGCTCAGCTTTTTCTCCTGATTGTCATTCAACAGTCAAAACAACAGCCAAACAAATTAACATGCATTTGGCCATTTCTCTTTGTTTAAATGAATAAATTTCACTAACTTGTATTGCTTCAGTCTTATAAAGAAAACGGCTGCCTTGCAAGATCAGAGGGTGGGAGTGTAGCTGTGTTCAGCCTTTAGCTAGTGTTACCTGGTTATGACACGATTTTTCTAGCCTAGTATCATGTCTATTATTAAGTTATTGCCATAATGAATAAATACTCAAACATCCAAATTATTCAGGCCAGCTCTTAGAAAATCTATGCTAATCTGATTTAAGCATAGATTTTCCAAACGCTGGTCTCAATAATTATGATTTCTTCTGTCTTGTGAAAATGTATTATAGATATATGCTTTTGCAGCTCTTTAATAAGCTTCAAATGTCCAGGAAATATGATTGGATGTTTATAGAGATGGTAAGAGACACAACACACCTAGTAACAATTACCCTAATTTATCAGTGTGGCTTTGGTCAGCCCTATTCTAGCGAAAATCATAAATATCTAAAAAGAAAAAAAAAACAGAAGAGAAACTGCTTTGGAAATCACCAACGTGACTGTGATTCTAAGAAATCCTCCATGCCAGTTGTAGGTACTTTCCCCTGCTTCTCTATTCCGTTAACGCCTCCGTGTATGTGTGCTGTGCAGATGCAGTACTCGTTCATCTACCAGGCCCTGCTGGAGTACTTCCTCTATGGGGACACTGAGCTGGACGTGTCCTCTTTGGAAGGACACCTACACAAACTCCACAACACCTGCACACCACAGGACCGGCTAGGGCTGGAGGAGGAGTTTAAGGTGAGCGCAGTGCCTTCTGCAGTGTAAAATCCAGTGAAGCTCTTAATAAAGTTAAATACTATTCAAATATCGTCACTTTCATGACAACCTTTGTATCTTCAAAATGGCTTACAGAACTTTACAAAAAATGTCTTGACTTTGAATGGGAGATAATGGAACCAGATTGTTTCCAAGCAGTTTTGGACCATTTCTATTGGGCTGTTAATCCTGAAACCTTAACACAATGTACAGAGCAGACTGTATTTCCATGTTTTGTCAAAAACTTAAATTGTTTTGTTCTGACAGCAACTAAATATTAATAGTATCACATGCTCTACACTGTATCACAACCACTTAAACTCTAAAGACCAGTTGCCGGCTCCATTCTTCACACTCATAGCTAGATAACATGCATATTAGTTTCTAAGCCATTATTTCATAATTCAGAAAGGTTAATGGTCGAAAGCACCATCTGACTGAATAACAGCCCTACGATTTAAGAGGTTTAAACAGTCCATCAATAAAGAACTGTATGATAAAAGACTTTCAGCCTGATGTATGATGACGAATGCCATCTTCTTTTTACAGAAACTGACAAACATGCGGATAATGAAGGAAAACATGAGGACAGGCAATCTTCCGGCGAATATGAAGAAGAACCGAGTGCTCCAGATTATTCCATGTAAGAACAGCAGCACTAAGAGCAACATGAAGCTTTATTGGTTTCGAATGCCGAATGCCGATGTTCATGTTTAAGGTCATTAGTAGGATAAAGTCTATCAACAAAGTTAAAGGGATAAAATTCGCTGAGCATTTTCAGTTCCACATTTGTAGGCCATTTTTATCACATTAAAATGTGACGTAAAGATGAACTGTGACCACATCTGTGGTTTTTCTTGCTGATAATGTAGAACAACGTTAGAATATCCCTGAAGCTGAAAGTCAGTTTACTAATCCTACCCACTTTATTAGAAAACTAAATTCAACCTCCCGTCTATACCTAATGCCTGTGTAGTACCCAGCAATGCAAACAAGCTTTGTTTATAAGGAAGTGAATCTAAAATCACACTTCCTTTCCTCACCCATTAATGTCCTTCCTGCCACAGCACATTTGCCAGCTCTTAATAAGTCTTGTTGAGTTTACACAGTTTGCAAACTTAATAGAGAATAATAACTGCTATTGGGTAAAAAAACATGAACATACCGTTGTGTTATAAAAATATAATAACATATTACCTGTGCAGAGTGTACAGTGTGGTTTCTGAGTGGCTGAGTGAAAGTAGACCATTCAATTTCAACACTCTCTGCCTGAGAGTGCCTCACTCGAATGACGTATGTGCACAAATACAAAGTGCTGATTTACAAATTAGATGCTTGATTAAACTCTGTATGGCAATAGCGCATGAAACAAAAGAGTACACAAGTAATACGTACAGTGAAGAAGAAAACAAACACAACATGGCACTGAGTTAATGAGCCCTGAATCGTACTCCACCAAGCACTCACTCCCAGCATCCTGGACTAATTGTGGTTGGTGTACTGACTACTTGCCACCCCAAAATCTCATTCACTATGTAAAAATGCAGCAGGACAAGAAGGCAAAGAATATAAGAATGTTTATATAATGTGTAATGTTTACTTGATGCATTAGGCTAACCTAGTCCCAGCTTCAGTTCCCATCCAAACTGTTTAATGACTGTGTTTAATGCCACACATTAGGATAACTGCAGTACTTTTTTGGTCTTTGTTGTAGATGACTTCAACAGAGTAATTCTGTCCATGCGGAGAGGTCAAGAATTCACAGACTACATTAATGCATCTTTCATTGATGTGAGTACTACATTTTTAATGAGTATATGTGATGTATGTGGGATTAATGGTAAGGTTAAAGTACCAGTTTAATGCAGACCCAAGGTCAGTATTGTGTGTGTGTGGTGAAAAGTAAGTTATTGCATAATACATTGTAATGTAACAGTAACTTTAAGTAAGTAGCACAGTAGTTTTCCTGAATATGTGAGTATTCCCAGGAATTTTTGAGATTTTTTGAAGGTTTAATGTCAACACTTTGCTTGAACCCTGCTACATAACATTGACGTAACCATGCCATTTGCTTTCATTAGTTGTTGTGACAGATCATGTCTGGTTGTGTAACAGCGTCATTTTACCGTTATCAGTATTTATCATTACATATATCATAATGATTAATGTCAGGACAGCTAATTAGACCATACTTTGCAAATTTTAGCATGTAATATAAGCTGTCATGGCATCAAACATTATGCCATCTGTCATGACAATTTCTGGTAATGGTAACATGACACTGTTATATGGCTGAGCAAAATCTGTCATGCACCTAGTAAAATGTGTCAACATGTAGAATTGGAGCTTTCTGTGTTTCTATCGCTGCATAACAGATGCATGAGACTTCTTTGCACATCTGATGTGTGACATGCTCCTATTCATGCATTTCCTGGTTGAACAAAAAAAGCATTTTGTGTGACAGTATCAATAAAAATCTATGAATATTGAGTTTTTTTTAGATTTGCTTTCTTTTCATATGAAATAAATGCTACAACAGCACTGTGAAATCGTGTGATTAAAACAGAAGATTAAAGAAGTGGCCGAGATAGCCATTTAGCCAGATTGCCAACCCTAAAAGGTTAAGCGCCTTTTAATTACAGGACATGAATGCTGTTAAATAACTAATTATAAAAAGATTCCAGGAACGATGGGTATCTCTTAGATAGTGTTTATTTCTATGCAACCTTGAGTACTTTTATAGCCTTGCAATTTTTGCACATTTTTAAATAACCCAACACAAGGAGCATTACAGCTCTGTGGCCGGATCTATATATATGTACTAATGCCTATGTGCATATTTAACCTGTGTTTGTGTGGGTTTGACAGGGATACAGGCAGAAGGACTATTTCATAGCCACACAGGGTCCTCTGGCTCACACTGTGGAGGACTTTTGGAGGATGGTGTGGGAATGGAAGTGCCACTCGATAGTCATGCTGACAGAACTACAGGAGAGAGAACAGGTGAGTACACACACACACACACACACACACACACACACACACACACTTAAGGCTATGAAGTTTGAACTGAACTGTAATAACACTAAATTGCAGAGCTGTACATTTTGTACATATTAAATGTCAATCTAATGTAAGGTGCTATTGATCTGCCAGAAGAGCATCATGCTGAATGAGGGCAAACCATAAATAATGCTAATGGGATTCATTGATGACTAGTTCTTAAACCACTTGTTACAGTGTACTGTAACAGTAATGTCCTTATCCTGGCAAGTTAAGATTATGGGTTATCATAGATAATGATAGATTGTCTCAACCCAACTGGACATGACTGCTCACATTGAGTTTGGACAAGTTCAGACACGATTTCCCAGACACGTATCAGGCTCAGGACAGGCTCACAATTCACATTCACCTCCCACTTTTACCAGATTTTACTTTGCATTTACCCTTTCTTAAGCTGCACTCCTTACTTTGTTGTTCCTTTCTGCTTTTTTTTTACCTTAAAACAGCTTTAAAGCTGACATTCTGCAGTCACCCACTTGTGAATTTAGCACTGAGGCCCACGCAGCCCATGCTTGTGAGAAAATGGATGTGCAGGAAGTAGAACAGTACATTATGTCAAGTTTATGCAGACAGAAAACTCTGGAATGTTGGTTGAAAATTGCTTCATGAATAAATTTGTTGAAGTGGAATTAGGCTTAATTTTGGACAGCTGATTATTTTTAATATTTCAAATTATTTTAATATTATTTCATTTTATTTATCCATGATTTAATGACAGCTGTTATTGTCGCTGCACAGTAATTTAATCAGCACTATCCAGTATCCACTATATAGGTTTTATTCAACACTTCATTTAATTCAGGCCAATTTAGGTTTCAGATAAAATTTGCTGGACTTGGGTCATTTTCAGACTTAAAAGTTGATGATGTTGTTTGAGTTGAGTTTGGACAAAATTTTTATGGGCTCAGTTCAGGTTAATACTAAAACCGTGGTGCTGTGGGTCAAGTCAGGTTGGAGTCAGACAGAAAGTTCTCGGACCAAAATTTCACGTCCAATTAAAGGTGCGATTGCGTGTGTTATTTTTCGCAGGATAAGTGTTTTCAGTATTGGCCGACAGAAGACTCAGTGAAATATGCAGACTACACAATAGAGATCAAAGCAGATACTCAATGTGACGACACCTTCAGCCTCAGAGACCTGGTACTCACATATGAACCAGTAAGTACAAGTAATCAGTATAATCCAGATAATACTTAACATTGTCATAGTTTAACTGTTATCATTCTGAAAGAACCAGTACACTAAAGTTCTCCTTTAGATTCCTTTCTTTACGTGTAAAAATTATTATAGCCTATTAGTGAATAGCTGTCAACACTGATGTTGTCATATATCACATTTATTTATTTTGTTTACACTTAGTATGACTGAGTTATTGTTTTGTATGTGTTTTAAAGGAAAAGGAGACGCGTTTGATCCGGCACTTTCACTTCCACGGCTGGCCAGAGATTGGCATTCCAGCAGAAGGGAAGGGAATGATCGACATCATTGCTGCAGTGCAGAAACAGCAGCAGCAATCGGGCAACCACCCCATTGTCGTGCACTGCAGGTACTACACTCTACACATTCTCGTACACACGAGTGGGCAGTTTTTAGGCACACCTATTTAGTACCATAGGAGCCCTATTAATCTCCAGAACAGCTTCAATTTGTGACTTGAATTGCGAGATGATAAAGGTACTTGAGATATACTTGACGATTTTGGTCCATGGTGGCTTAATAGCATCATTCAAATTATTCTTCCATTCATCCATTTGAACCTTTACCCACCACAGCTCATCCGTACGTTTTCCAGTGGGCTGAGATCTGTGCTGGTTATTAGGGTAACCTGAACTCGCTGTCATGCTTGTGTATGTATCCTTTTTGAAATGATGCATTATGCTACTGGCAATATCCACTGGAAAAAGACCTAATAGGGATGCACATTGTTAGCAACAATGCCATGGCATTTAATGGAAAAAGCAAAACATCATTTTTTTTTACCTTTTTGTTTGTTTATTTGTTTATTTGCCCCATTAACTGTAAATGCTATAAACTGTAGGGCATGACATTTACAAATTATGACTGCATACTTTATATCATTGCAACAAGACTTTGTATCTCTTTTTTTAAACAAAATTTGAAAAGACCAGCAGTTGTTTCAAAATTTCATGATGACTGTACTAACACACACACACACACACACACACACATTATCTAAGCAGCGACTGTACTAATAGAAATGCTCCAAAATTACTTATAAATAAAATAAAATTATAAATAAATAAAATCTTCAAAGTTAAAAAATATTTTTTGGAGATACAAAGTTTTTCTCTGACAGCGACAATATACTAATTCACAGCCACATGATTTGCTGTTTTGAGGAGAATGATACAGATATATCAGTAATGAACAGTTGTCCCCTAAAACATACGTGCAAAATGAATTTCTCTTTAGTACATGTGTAAATGGTTTATTTTCTATGGGTGTAAATCTCTGGACAAAAATTCTATAACCCAAAAAAGCAATACACCAAGCTTTTTTTTCACATTTTCACTTGAAAATGACCAAAGCTGACATCATGACAGACCTAAATCCAGTTCACCACCTTCAGATTTATGGATCAGGATGCATTTTTCACAGCCCTGTTTTCTATACATGCGTTGTGAACGCATACTTGTGTTTGTGTGTGCAGCGCCGGAGCGGGTCGTACCGGTACGTTTATTGCCCTCAGTAATATTCTGGAGCGGGTGAAAGCCGAGGGCCTGCTGGACGTCTTTCAGACTGTGAAGAGTTTGCGTATGCAACGGCCACACATGGTGCAGACCGTGGTATGTACTCAACCTCCAGAACTACATTTCCCACAATGATCTACAGTGTAGCAATAAGAGGGGGTGGTCAATTTGATACGGACTACATAAGGGTGCTCCCAAACTTTACAGTTTACAGAGCATACAGTTGTGTAACTTTGGATGTCGCTGGCCAAGTAAAAATAAGTTCACATCCTCTACAGAGAACATGCTTTTGTACACTGTAAGGCACAATTACTGATTATTTGCTGAATTTAACATATTGGGAAAAATAAAACGAAAAAAAATTGGCCTGTGCAAAAGTTATGGCATGTTCTTTATTTATTGTTTTATGTTTTCCAATATGTTATATTAGGCAAATAAATAGATATTGTGCTATACAGTTTGTGGAAAAGTGGCATAATTAAGTCTGTTCCTTGTAGAGCATGTGTTAACTTATTTCCACTAAAAAAGGATGTTCAAACTTTTGCATACAACTGTATGTAGAGCTCAACATGTGGAGAATGACAATCAATAAATGTGAACAGTGAATTAAATCTCTTGGCTTATTTAGAAATTAATGTCTCTGTCTCTGTCTCTTTGTCTCTCTGTCTCTCTCTCTCTAGGAACAGTATGACTTCTGCTACAGAGTGGTACAAGACTTTGTCGACATTTTCTCAGACTATGCCAATTTTAAATGATCAAACCTGCCTTATACATTTCTGTTCAGTGCTTTTTTATATACCAGTTCGTCAGGATTTTACCCCATAACTGAATGAAATTAGCTTCTATTTTGCTATGCACTTGACCTCTTAAAGATCATATCTATCTGTAATATAATGTCTAATACTAAAGCTACAAAATGGGTTTAAAAAGCTGTAATGAGACAGAAAACGACCGTATTTGAATTAATTATTTCATTATGGTCTTAAATTGTGTCTTTCAAGTCTCGTCATATCATTCCAGCCAAATGTTTTTGATTTGAATGGCAGTGTTTTTACCTTTCTTTTTATATTTTTTTTTAAATCTGGGTCTTACCAACTAAACAGTTTCATTTTTTTAACCCATGTAAAGTTTGTAAAGCTGTAGGTATTGTAAATGTATTTATGTATTGTTGCTGACAGTCCATTCTCACATTTTAAAACTTTTACGTTAATGTTGAGAGATTTTATTTATTCAGATTTGTCATACATATTATTAGTGTCAATTTTTGTTTTTACCTGAAAATCTAGCAAATGCAAACATAAGCATATTTGGACAAATACATTAAAACCTCAGTGAATTTACATTGTGAATGAACAAAGAAACGGAAAAGCTACAGATTTTGTATCAAAATTAGCTCGAGTGAATGCACCATTCAGTAAGACAGGAACAGTCCTGTTTCCACTCAAATAGCAGCACCGTCAGTAACGTGGCCTAAAAACAGACCCTATCAGGATCATAACGTAGCTGCTGGTGGTCCTGCCTGTCTCCAGGTCAACAAGGCTGGAAATAGCTGCACAGGTTTTCAAAGCACATTGATTAATGTCCATTGCCTTGCACAAAGCCAAGAATTTACAAATGAAAGAGATAATGTGTTATTAAAGGATGATATATACATTCTGTCTGTGTGATTTTCTTTCACTGTCAAAGCTTTCACGAGATTACCACAGTGTTACCATGTTTTATAGTTTATATACTTCATTTTACTTTTTAAAGACCCATACCATGAAAAAAAAGCTTTTTTGAAATAAAAGAGTTTGATGTAGTATGTAAACAATGTTTACAAAATTTGTGACATCACAAAATCTGACACTTTTGCATATGTCCACCTCTCCGGCCTACAACAGTTTAGACCACCCACCCCAGCCCCTACCATCATTTCACACTTCTCCCGTCACGCCTCGGAAGATATAAGGTGCACTGTTAAAAATAAAGGTACTGTTCAACTTAGAACATATAATTTCAATGGATTATGGTACAATTGTGTTCCCTGACTAAAGGTACTGAGATGTACCCTTGAGGGTCCCCCCCCAGTGACAAGAGGGGAACTGCCCCAGTGACAGTTTAGTACCTTTATTTCTGAGAGTGTGTGTCTTAGACAGGACAGCTAATCAAAACAGAGATCATTTACATATGTCAGTCTTAAAGGCACAGTAACAACAGTCTGTTTATTTTCTAAAGCGTAAAGAGAGGTTGGAAAATCATCATGTAAAAAGTTACTTATGTCTGTTTTTGTACATATTTTTTGAAAAATACATACAGTGAATGAATGGAAATAGCTTACTTGTAGTATGAGTAGACATACTGTTACTAAGTTAAAATAACACCTTGCATTAGTGGTCTCGCATTAATTATTAATTATATCGTTAATAAGCCATTGATTATCCATTATTAATATATTAGTTAATTATCCAATAAGCATTATTACCTCGTGACTGATTAACCACTCAAAAATAGTAATTAATACTTATTAAAAGTGATTTTTCATCACATTTTTTCTCCATTGTGCAGCTTTGTATGGAACACCATCCTTCCACTTTACTTGAGGAGACACATAAATGAGTAGACAGCAATTAAGATATCAGTAACTACCCATGTCATAATCATGAGTTGATAGTAAAATCAATAGTAAAAGTTATCACTTTACTTGGAAGGACAAAATTTTGTAATTAACAGTTATGTAATTGGGCAAAATAGTAATTAATTGTCGAAATGTGAGGACAGCTGTAAGCAAAGTGAGGCAGCTGAATATGTGGAGGTCAACACGTATCAGTTCACTGGCATTTTAATAAACACAGTTAATCAGCAAAAAGCTATGAACTAATGACTATATGATCTGTTAACAGTGTACTCAGACACTACTTGTTAAACACTATTAGTCCCTAAGTAATAACTAATGCTTAATGAGTAGGTAACTAGTAAATGCTTATTACAACACAATTAATTATTATTACTGTTGTTTTCTCACATATATTCTAGTTTATTTGAACTAGAGCACAGCAAAAATGGATGTACAGATGTGCTGATAAATTGAACGGTTTGACTTATAAAACAATGATGGTGCTGCCATCTAGTGGCAACTTTAAGCCATCTATTAATTCCCACCACATTACATAAGTATTGCATTCATATATATTTTTTAATGCCTTGTGAAGAAGAAGGGGGGCAGAATTGTGTGTGTGTGTGTGTGTGTTTGTGTGTGTGTGTGTGTGTGTGTGTATGTGTCTGTGTGCGAGTGTGTGTGTGTGTGTGTGTGTGTGTGTGTGTGTGTGTGTGTGTAGGTAAGTATGAGCTGGGTTGTTTCCCCTCATTATGAGATTGTATTATGTACCTGCTGGAGGTATTAGACAATGGAAGAGAACATGAAGAGAAAACTTCATATCTGATTGTCAAGACATGGTTCTCAAGATGTTCACTTGTATGTACGTTTTGTCTGAAAATGAAAAGAGCAGTAAAAGGAGAAAGGAGAAAATGAAGAGAAAGTAAAGAAAGTCCTGATTAGAGTAACTGAGTGTATAACTTGTAGATGTATGCATTAAGATGTTGGTGAAATGGTAAATAGATGTAATGGGGGAGTGAGTTAATAAGGGGGTCCAGTCTAGATCAGAGTGTTATGTGGTGTTGTTTGATAAGGCAGATGTCGTTTCTGAGGAGCTGTATTCTGTGAGTAGTGTGTCCCACTGTGTCATGCTTATTTTTTTCCTAGTCTTCCAGTTCAGGAGGATGGTTTTCTTTGCTGTGGTAATAGCAAAAAGTGTGCAGATGTACAGATTTGGGATAGTAACTGTAGAGTGATTGCCTAGCATACAAAGGGAAGGGGAAGTCGGAATTCAGCAGGCCAGACAAATGGAGATATGTTTGGTTACATGTTGCTTTATATGATTCCACTCTTTTGTGGAAAACTGTTCTAACTGGAAAGTAAGTTTCCTTACGTTTAGATGGGCCTGTAGCTCTGGTTAACATACTGTCTGTCAAAGCCTATAAACACAGTTTATGATTCAACAACAAAAGCCCTTGTCTGGCTTCTGAGTAAAGAGGTCACCTGATGGCGGAATGAAACAGGTTTTGTCATCTAGGTTATAAAGTGAGCACATAGCTAGTTTGTTGAACAACCCGACAAAGCAAACTGACACTGGTCAACTTTCTCTTGACCACAGAATAAAAAAATGTTTACATAAAGACAGTGCTGTCAAGAGTGAAACTGCATCAATGGGTTTGTTTCTCCAGCTGTTTATTTGGGAGTCTGAGCACTGCATATGGATCAATTTCACATTGGTATTTTAATGAATATAAACTTGCCATAAATAAACATAAAATGTTAGAAGACGATACTTAAAAAAACAAAAGAAGTGATGCTGCTGCTATTAGCGTGGGCTAAATGCTCCCAAACCGTGGAACTCACTCCCACAAGACCTACAGCAAACACCTTCAGTAGGCACTTTTAAATAGCAGCTTAAAATGGCTACTTTATTGTTTTTATAATCATTTATTTTTAGAGTTTTTGTTGTCTTCTTATTTTTCCTTCTTTTTTTTAAGTTATCTTCTCTATTATCTTCTTACTTCTACTATGTTTTATTGTGTGAAAGAGCTATATTAATAAACTTTATCATTGTTTTTATTATTATTATTATTAATTCACCATTTAAAGGTGAAGAAAAGTGAAAGTATTTCAGTCTCCTGCATGCATGGTCTACTTCTTTAAATGCAACACTGTGAGTGCACCAGCAGGTGCTGCTATTGAGCTGAAATTCTTCAGAGAGGGTCCAGTTTAATGCATTCATTCTGTTTAAGTCTTCATCTTAAATTAATCAAAGTTTCATCTTGTATTGCACCAATTCAGATCTGGTTTTGAATCAACGAATCAAAATGACAAGTGAAAAACTGTCTATTAATATCCTATCAGACCTCACAGAGTATTTTAACCTTTTCATGCAAACATATAAAAACTATAGAAAGAAGTGAGGATATCTCTGTAATAACCAGTATGTGCTGTACTATCAGTGCTAATAATCACTTAAGTTTTTGTGCTTCATTTTTGTTTGAATTCCAAGCAGAATCTGTGGTTTCATTAAAGAAACTACAACTCCACAGATAAATGCTTTTTTAAGCACATAAGAAGATGCATAAACTCTGTTTTTACTTTCTCAGCATGATCTCAAGAAATTATTTTAAGAAATTCTAATTTCATAGCGAAGAATTAAACACTGCAGGAGGTTAAGATGAAAATGTGGATTCATTCCCAGGCAAGGCCAACGGAGAGAACTCCCCCTAATAGAATTGGGCATTAGGGGCAAAGCTCTGCCAACACTATTTACAAGTGGGAGCACAATTCAAATTCAGTCATGAGCAAGGGCAGTTACAAAGTAATGAAAACGGCTGCGGATGTGCCCATGCTTCTGTCTGAAACAGAGAACTGGAGAGATTAGGGTTTACACAAATACTGTAAATCCAAATTCAGTTCTACATATAGGTCAGATTATACACTATAGATCAGGTTTTATTATTATAAGTTTCACTATCTGCATTAGAGCCAGCAAAAGACATTTGGTGTCAAAACGCTTGCTTCTTTAGTTTTGTGCTGGAGCGAGTAATGGAAGCTTCTATCTCACCAAATTAGCACTGCGCAAACTGCATGTCTAAATCATCACTCACTTGGCTCAAACTGCATTGATCTGCATTTGGGAGAATTATGCAGATTTCCAAAAATTTCAGCATAATTAAGTGGCTAAGATGTAAACAAAGTCACTCAGAGTGGTTTGATGTGAAATGCTTTGTTCTAGAGAAATTTGCAGAGTCTGAATTGTTCACAGAGGTGGTGATAGGAACCAGACGTCTGAAGCATTTAACGCTTCTGAAAACTGCCTCACAGAATGTTTTACATGGAATTGTTATGAATATTTGTCTGATGCCTTAGAGTTGTTCAGTAGTTTTGTGGTGAATGTTTTGGTATGCAAAGCAAAACAGGACCCAAAGAAATCTTTATTTTTCAGATTTATCACTGTTTTACCATCATCAACATCACATATAAAACCTGTGAAGACTCATGTCAGTTCACTGGTCATTTTGGTCATTTTAGTAAATAAAATGGCTATATTTGTGTTGTCGAATTTGAGACCCCTGGTTCCTATCACGTTTATCTACGATGATTCATTTCACATCAAACCACTCTGAATGGCTTTGTTTACATCTCATACATTGAAGTAAACAGAACATTTTAAAAAGTGGTGAAATTCCCTTTTAAATAGTCCAAAATAGACATGCTTAGGTAGTTTTTATGGCATACATATATCAATATAAATGAACAAAGTATGGTGCTAGTGAAATTTAGGGTACACAGAGGTGAAGTGACTTGATATTATGCAGGTACAGCAAACCAGACCATCTGTAATATCAGTATGCAATTATGCACAAACATGTAAATATCTTTTACATGCATGAATGTGTGTGTGTGTGTGTGTGAGAGAGAGAGAGAGAAGAACTCACCTCAGCCACTCTATTAAGTTGCAGCTATAATTTGGTGCTCAGTAGCAGGTTTCGCTTGGAGGTCATGTGCAGGCTGAACATGTCCCCAGCCACCGGACCCCGCTTCATTAAAGCCCGCCTATAATTGCTCCACTCCA